AACTGATAATTCAACATTATCATGAAAATGCATATCATTTTGGACAAGAAATAGTACTCAACAAATTACGATGTAAATTTTGGATTTTACATATGAGACAAGCAGTGAAAAATGTTTTCCATAATTGTCAGCAATGTAGCAATAGGCGAGCCAATCCCATGATACCAATTATGGGACAATTACCGTTATGCAGAATAGAACCAACAATCAGACCATTCATAAAATGTGGAGTGGATTATTTTGGACCCTTTGAAGTTGCAGTGAAGAGAAGCAGAGAGAAAAGGTATGGAGTTATTTTCACTTGTTTAGTAACCAGGGCAGTTTACTTAGAAATTGCTCATGACCTCACGACTAATGCTTTTATAAATGTACTCCGGCAATTTGGTTGTAGACGTGGGTTTCCTCACGAAATCCATAGTGACAATGGATTGAACTTTAGAGGGGCTGAAAGGGAAATTTCGCAACATCTTGACAATTTACAACAAAATGAAATAATAGAATTTTGTTCTTTGCGAGGAATTAAATGGCATTTTAATCCTCCACATGCACCACATATGGGCGGCATATGGGAGCGGCAAATTCAAAGCATAAAGAAGATATTAAAGGAAATTCTGAATACTAGGTATCCTCAAGAACATATACTCAGAACCTTCCTCATAGAGTGCGAAAATATATTGAATTCCAGACCTCTGACACACGTTTCTTCCGATTCTCATGACTCTGAACCTCTAACACCAAATCACTTCCTGATCGGACCAGATTTTGTAGCACAACCTTGGACTGTGACTACTGACAATCGAGATCTTAATCTTATGAACAGTTGGAGGTCAGCTCAGCGTTTGGCAGACTTCTTTTGGAAGCGATGGCTTGATGACTATTTACCAACAATTATTAAACGGTCCAAATGGTATCAAGAACAGAAGAATATCAAAGTTGATGACATTGTTATAATTGTTGATCCAAATGGAACAAGAAATGATTGGCGAAAAGCAAGAGTAGTTAAAACGTATCCTGCCAAAGATGGTAGAATTCGTATAGTTGACGTCAAGGATGGGAATGGAAAGGTATACCGAAGAGCGCTGTCCAAACTCATTGTACTTGATCTTCAGTAGTAATTGCTGGAAGAGAGGCAATTACTAGGGTGGAGAAATGTTGAATTTATTTGTATCAAGTTCACTGAATTATTAAAAAATGTTGCCATAGAAATAAATAAGGTTGTTAGAAAAATTATAAAAAACCGTCATAATAAATTTAATTTAAAAGCTCTTGTCAAATTGTTCTTCGACCCGGACAATATAATATATCACATTAGGTAAGAGTCAATAATAACGTTAAAAATTAATGTATTCCATACATACGGACCGTTTTGTATGCCCATCCATAGAAGACACTCCACATTAAAATAACTACCAAACCGTGGCGGGAAAAGCGCGATAGTGATCTAGTGGTGGTGTTTAGTGACGAAAATCAAACGGTAAGTGAATCTTCGGAGGTTCAGTGGGACCACTTGGGGCAGCTGCGGATGGGCAACGCCCCACCTCCATATTTTTTAATTCAATTTATTTATTTTGTTACGCATCTTAGTCGCAATGGTACCGTTTACCTATAGGGTAAAGGAAAAGGAAAAGGCCAACGTGTTTCATTCTTCCGACACCCCGAGGGATATCGGAGGCGGGTTGCTCTGGGTTTCCTGGCCCTCTTCGGCCAGAGAACGGGAATTACGGAACGGAGTTAGAGTGCTGAGAGGGAAGAGTACTGCTCCAGCATTCGCCTCATAGATTTCGAAGCTATGTACGTCTGAAGAAATCCCAAGACAAAGCAGTCGGCAGTGGGATTTGAACCCACAACCTCCCGAATAGCAGTCGACAACTCAACCACTACGCCACCGGCTTCGGTACCTTTAATGTGCCAAGTGTTCCAATCCTACTTCTGTTTTGATCTGACCGCAGTTCCTCAATTCGTTGACAGTGCCGTTGTCATCGATAATTCTAGATCAAACCAGGGTGAGTAGGTACAGCAATTTTTATAAACCGATTTTGATCATCTACTTTCAGAATAAGTGGAAATAAGACCCAGAAGAACAATTCGCGTCCCTATTACTCTCGGTATGCAGTCATTGCGGCCATGGGTTAGTCAGAAATCCGGTGGGATACTACCTACCTGTTGTAGAATCATACGCAACACATAAACGACGAAGCGCCCTGGTCGATTAGTGGGGTGATCACGTAAATTGAGGTAATTTTCTTTTTTCCATAAATTTCGAAAATTATTGAAACATTTAAGTGGTCTCAAAGATAGAAAAATGATATAATGTACGATTTACGATTTAAAGTTTGCGATCCAGGTTGCGAATGTCTGCACTAAAAGCTTTCAGAATTTAGACCACTTCTCTAGTGTAAAATCAAATATTAAAATTTTAAGGGGGGTTTATAAAGTACAAAAATCGGCAAATCGATGCGTTCAAGAGTTCAAAATTTAGTGAATACAACAAACCTGAATTAAAAAGCCAATTGCATTTCTAAGCTCGACATCTGTATGTCTTCTTACTGGAGAATAAGGCACTTTTTAAATTCTTGGCGCCGAAACGGTCTTCTGGCCAGAGCCGGCTCAAGGCAAAAGTTACGTGTAAGCGATCACTAAAATTTGCGCCTCTGCCCGCCTTGCTAAAGTCTGAACAATGGGAATTTTTGGCAAGCAAGTTTTTAAAAATGAAAAAAGTTTTCGCCATGAATTCATCAGTACTTCCGGTTTGTGTGTACAAAGGAAAATAAGTTATGGCATAAATATTCTTATAAATACGAAGCTTAAGATTGCGTAGTCTGCGCATGCACACACCTGATGTTTAAAGTATGCGATATGTTTGCCTTTGCTTGAAGAATCTCTGGTCAAAATTAAAAAAAATCTCTATAAATAAGAAAGTTGACATTGCGTAGTTTGCGCATGCGCACATCTGATTTTTACAATATGCGATATGCTTGTCTTTACTAGAAGCATATGTGTTTAAAATTTTAAAGAAATATCTCTATAAATAAGAAAATTGACATCGCGCAGTTTTTGCATCGTCAAGATTTTTCTTGGTTGAGGTGCCAGAGCTATTAGCTACCGAGTGCAAAAGGAACGAACTACGAGTACATATCTTGAAAACTGTAGAAGTAGTTAAGGCCTCGGACGGACAGACGGACGGAGAAAGTGGCCATAATAGCGCCTTCCACAATGAGTTGGAAAATGCGCTAAAAATACAGGTTGTTAACTATGTCATGCAGATATTTCAGGGGGGTGTTAGCACTCGTCAAAATAAGAAAAAATGCAAATATGTGCGTGGTCTAAAAGGACACCATTTTTGTTATACAGGGAGGCAAAGTTTCAATTTTGTCTCTCTTGTGTTCTAGGATAATTTTTAGAATCTCTACAATAAAGTATCAAAATATAGTTGGTCGCAATATATAGGGTGTTGCATTTTCTTTGCCATCCTGTATAACGAAAACGACGACTTTTAGACCAATTTTTTCATATTGTGACGAGTATCACTCCCTGAAATATTTGCATGAAATTAATTAACACTCTGTATAGAGGTTCATTTATTATACTACCGAATTTCGTACCCCCGCTAATTCCAATTTAGCGGAATTGAACATTAGGTTCACATTACTATTTGTAGGTTTATTGTGTTCTCACATTTTTTTTTGAGAAGCAAAGTTGTACAAAAATGGTACAGAGTTTTCCGAAGGGATAACGCGTTTGCTATTAATGAATATGCTTCCCGTGTACGTATTTTTACGTCTGTGGTCCGTCAGTCATTAACCATGAGTAATTTTTGCGCCCCTTCTTGTCTGCGGCGTAAGCGACGGGTTACACCGCTTACGCCTAAAGCCGGCCCTGCTTCTTGCTATAAATTGGTTCTATTCGAATGTAATTATATTATAATTATCATTGTAATTATATTGCGAAGACACTTTTCCATCTTGTTGCTTTAATCGCGCGACATTTAGTAGGGGAAAGTTGCCTGCGCGGTCTCAAAGAGCACGAACGCTTCTTACTTGACCACCATCTTGGTTTGAGCGGCCATAGAGAGAGCGTTTATTTAATGCAGGTAGTAATCTTTGCATATCTTTATAATTTATTTGTGTTCAACAGCGACATTTTAGTTTTTTTTTTATAATTTTTAATCTTTGTTTTGAAATTGACATGATTTAATATCAATCGTTTTCATTTTTGGTGTAAATGTTTATTCAATTTATGATTTTAACTTAGGGCCAAGACTACGGTAGTCTTGCAGGTAGAATTTATATTTTGCGATTGCTAGATGTATGTATAGATTTGTTG